TAATATTTTATGTTCAATAAATGGCTTTGAAAGATGAAGTTCTCCTGTTTCTGGGCACACATAGTAATTTTTTATATTCTAATTATTATCATAATTGAGATAATAAAATGGAGTTTAAGTCCTGATACCTTGTTTGACTTTGAAAATGTTGCTTAGGAAGATTCTGATTGTGTAATAGACAGTAGCTTAAAACAACATCTGGGAGACAGGTCAGTGCTTCATAGTGTATGTGTGTATTTCACAGAGAAGCAGTAGGTTATTGTTGTGAATCTACCTTGGTCTGTTGAGAAGCTGCTTTGAAATAGTCCCCATTTGGTCTATAAAAGGGGGTAAAGTAGCAAAAATATCACCAGTGAAGGATTTCACAGTTGTTTTCTGTGGAATGCAGCTTGCCATTGCCCTACCTTTCTGTCTCTTGAGATAGTCTGTTGCTGTATTTTTAATTATTCTGCTCTGACATGTTTTCTTGTGTTCCTTTTGAAAGGGTTGGAAGTATTTGTTAATAAAGGAAGAAAGAGCTATTAAACTATTCCTCTTGTTTGATGAAATCTTAAATAGCTATATGCAATGGAATTAAATCAGGAATCCTGCTAAAGCGGTGACATTTATGGCTGTATTAATGTCTGTAATTTATTTTGAGAACCAATTCAATTTTGATGCCGCCTTTGATCAAGTAATGAAAAGGTAAACAAGTTTAGTACAATGAATTGTAGAAATATCTCACATACAAACCTTCATCCCTGTAAATAGAGAAGATGGGTATGCTTGCCATTTGCTGAGATAACAACGAAGAACCTTGAAACTTTCTTAATGGCTGTTTAAAACTAATGTCTTTTATTAGACTTGGTATCAAAAAGAGGAGCCCTCGTCAGCTTTTACTGAACCGCAGTAAAACAGAACTGCCACCTTCTTATACTGCAGTGAGTGCTGGGCTCAGGACTCAGTTACGCTAGTGTGGCGCTAGCTTATTGAATTTTTAACTAAAATATAGTAATGCTGCACTGGGAGCTGCTGGATTTTCATGTTTTAGATAAAGATTATTTTCAGAAGAAGGAAATAGGAACTCTACAAGAAAACACTTTTAAATACTGTCAATCACATATCATTTCAGCTGCTTGCTCCTTTCCACAAAAGGAAAACAACTTTTAAATCAAGAACCAAATCATGACATAGTCTGCAGAAAGGTTCTTTACTTGCCCTTGACTGCTGTGGGCTGGAGTTAGGGAAGCTGAAGGACAATAGGCTGTTGGCTGATCCAGCTTGGGTTTATATATTTGACTTTCCTGTTACTCATTTGCATTTGTGTACTGGGAAGGGAATGTTTTACCATGTACATAGTTTAAGATTATGATTTGGAAGCACAATATTTACACAAGTAATAGTAGGGAGTGGGGTTTTGTTTGTTTGTTTTTCAGGACTATGAAGTACAAAAGTAGTAGTGACACTGGGTTAAAAAAAACAAACAAGCTAGATTTCTAAATATCTGCTGGTGTTATGTAATCTGGTATTAAAGCACAAACATGTCTCTCTGAGGTGGTGGTTGTTTGCGTGTAAACCATTTCTTCTGAAAACGATGCTGGTTTTATTTAATAGTAGAGTCCTATTGTGTTCTGTTACAGTTAACTACTTTGAGCACAATACTCTAATGTGATAAAGACTATCAAAGATAGTAACTATAAAACACTGAGTGAACATTTCATACAAAAATACCTGTCACGGTTCTCTATTTAAATTTCTCTTTACTGCTTGTGGTGCTTCTTACATGCTGATAGTGACATATCATTGTTCCCTTCATATTTTTACTAGGTGGTCTTAACTCCAACAATAGGCTTTGCATTGGTCTTCACAATAAATCTATCTTGAGTCCTGAATAGTCTGAATCCCAACAGTTTGACATGCATTTCTGACAAACCTTGCATTTCTGAAAGTTGGCTTAAATTGGTCAAATATAAACAGTCCTTAAGGAAACGCTAATCTTGATATCGATACATGTATGTAAATGCAGTCAAAAATAGTAGGTAAACTTTTTAAAATACGTATAATAGGAAGTCTTTTCACAAGAGGGACTGCATGAGGATAGGATTATCTCATAGTCATGGAAATTGGAAAATCGCTGGATGCATAATGCTAGGGCAGATCAAGTAGTGAAAAGTATGAATTTAAGGATCTATCATGAGCATGAACTTCAAGGGCTGATACTGTACTACTGTTCTGTCACTTCTATGTGCATGATGGAGCAACATGGAATGGAAAATTAAAAGATTTTTAAAAGATAAAATGTCAAGCCTTTTATTGTAGCCATAAACTAAAGAATATCAATAAAATAGTGAAGCTAGTATGTTATCTATTATTTATACAAATTTCTGCAGTGAACCTCTGTAAGGAGTAATGTTCAGTCTGAACAATTGTCATGGTTTAACCCCAGCTGGCAACTAAGCCTCACGCAGCCGCTCGCGCTCTCCACTCTGGTGGGTGGGACGGGGAAGAGAATCGGAAGGGTAAAAGTGAGGAAACTCGTGGGTTGAGATAAAGACAATTTAACAAGGAAAGCAAAAGCCGCGCGCACAAGCAAAGCAACACAAGGAATCCATTCACCACTCCCCATGGGCAGGCAGGTGCTCAGCCATCTCCAGGGAAGCAGGGCTCCATCACGCGTAACGGTTACTTGGGAAGACAGACGCCATCACACCGAATGCCCCTCACTTCCTCCTTCTCCTCTTCATCATCATCATCAACTTAATCATCATCTTTGTCATGCTGAGCATGACGCCATATGGTAGGGAATATCCCTTTGGTGCAGTTGGAGTCAGCCGTCCCAGCTGTGTCCCCTCCCAGCTCCCCGGGCACCCCCAGCCGGCTCGCAGGCGGGGGGGCGTGAGAAGCAGAAAAGGCCTTGACTGTGTGTGAGCGCTGCTCAGCAGTAACTAAAACATCCCTGTGCTACCAACACTGTTTCCAGCACAGATCCAAAACACAGCCCCATGCTAGCTACTGTGAAGAAAATTAACTCTACCCCAGTAAAAGCAGATAAATCCTAAACAAGAGAGTAGATTTAAAAAAAATTATCTTACAAAATGTTGTTTAAAATTCGAGGCAAAGTACATCTCACATAGGCTATTTTAAAGATATATGGAAATAATAGGGGTTTTACCTGTAAGAAAAGCGTTACAATGCTATCTAGTATCACATTTCAGTTAGCAATCTGTGTTGCTCCTAAGAAAAAATATGAAGCACTTGTACACGAAGGAAATGTGTGATTATTTTTTCATTCTGTTTTGCTATATTTGCCAGCTAAAATTGAGGCAAATGTTTATATTCATGATTTCCTTTTGTATTTACTAATGCTAAGACCTAGATTGATACTATTCTAAGCACTTATATATCTAGGCATTATATCCCTCTAAGCTTAAATGAAACTAAAGCACAGTTAGCAAATCAACCATGTAGACAAGCCATACTGCTTTCATTCTTCATATGACCTAAAATTCCATAGAATATTGCTTATTGACATTCAGGTATGTTTGGAAGCAGAATTACACATTTGCTGTGTTGCTTTTAGTTAAAGAAAAACAACAAACACACACAATATCCAGTAACTTTTTAGTAATTCCAAAAACAGTGAGTTACTAAAATCTTGGAGAAGATATTCTTGATTTTTTATCAGAGGTGCTCATATTTCATATGTCTTAATCATTGAAATTATTACTAGAGGTTAATTTTTTAAATGGCAGTAGCTTAAACATCGGATTAATAAAATTAGGATTGTTTCTGTATCTTAACGTCAATGACAAGCAAAATAATTGATTTTATAGGGGTAATAGAAACATTCGTAGTAGAACCATCTAGTTTACAGATTTGTAAATAACGAGTATGACAGCCAGTTTATAAATTCAGGTCTTTATTTTTCTATTGTTGTGGGTTTCTTTCCGGTCAGGCCTGGGAATGCTCCAAACACTTAAGTCACCAGGTCCTATTGAGATACAGCTCTTCTGAGTGTCGTTAATCCACTTGGTTTTTAACAGCGCTCAGGTATATTGAGCAAAGAAAGACCTTCTTGGATATGAGCAAGTTTGTCACTGTTTGCATTACACAGTGAACAGGTCACAAGAGTAGTCTGACTTTTCCGACTGTGGCTTTGTCATTGGAGGGCATGAGACAACATTTTTGCCAGAATTAAGATTATTTTTTTTTTTAGAATGGGGAATCTTGACTTCTTTTTCAAGTTTTGGAAGAGTGTTACCTTGTCCAAGAACCTTCTTCTGTATCTTCATTTGCCCTTTGTCTTATTTCTGTGTTTATCCAGTTTGTCACCGTTCCCACCAACTTGTTGACATCAATATTCCTTTTCTTATTGTGATGTGCCTGCAGCCAGTGCCTGGAACCCCTAGTACCTGTAGCCAGTGCTAGTCAAACCTCTTCTCTTTTGCTATTCAAGCCACTGAAGTACATAAGAACAACACTTTTAATGTGAGCATCGGGAGTGCGTACACGAAAAAGCCTCTTCTGCTAATGTATGGACTTTCCAAATATGTTAGCTGTTGAACTTTTACCCAGCTTTTTTCAGGCCATTCAAGTTGAATAAATCAATCAATTAAAATCAGTTGCTCATAATGGAAAGTCTTGGGAAACTGAAGGTGTGGGTGTGAACATCAGGGCTGTGCATGATATGACAAGTTGTTTCTTAATGTCATGACCAAATGTGTAGCTTCACAGCTGTTTTTTGAGGCTGTGTGGG